CCGGCCAACTTAGGTGTATGTGGCTGGCGCCTTAGCTACTTGAGCCACAGGCGCTGAGCCTACAAAGATGTTCTTATATTATCATTTACACTTTTTGCTGAAAGGTTGAATGATGGTTGTTTTAATTCAAGTCAAACAAATTTTGATGAAAGAAATGACATCAAAATATTAAGTGAGTGATGAGAGTAAAATGAGAGTATTTTAATAAACTTCCCTAATTGTGAGACCCTACAAAGCAGTTGTTAAGTGCCCAGATAGGATGGATTGGAACCTTAGCACTGACACTTAACTATGTAGCTATAGAATGGAACAAATACTTAACCTCTCTGATCCTCAAGTTTATCTATAAAATGGGAACAATACTAAGAATGTTGTTACCTTGGTTGTGTATGTGTATATTTTAATGTCATAGGACATTGCCTAGGGTTTCTTTTTATTATTTTAAAAAATGTTTTTAAAGCTGCCTCTACGGTATCCAAGAAGCTATTTGGCAATGGAGTTGAATTTCAAGACAGAAGTCTTAGCTAAAGATGTAAATCTAGGCATCACAGAGATCATATACACCTATATTCACACATGCAGAAAATCAATCTTTCTCTCTCTGACAAGAGTACCTGGCAGATAATCAGTACTATATAAATATTAAAATATCAATTATTACTACTTTTAATAAGCATTTCAGAAGTCAATTAATTTGAGCTTATTAAAATGCAAGTTAACTAACACTTAAATGCATATAGTTGGTGCTCACTAAAGGTTTCATAAATGAAAATAATTCCTGGTGCTTTTTTTCATTAGTTATAAAATGTAAATAGTAATTGAAAAAATACAAGAATTTATATTTCTCAGAGATTATATTCAAAATATCACTAAATTGAGTATATAAAAGTAATAAAATTATCACTAATAATTACAATACTTATAGTAATATTAGATTTGCCTTGAAAAGACTTTCAAATTTATTTATTCATAATTAACTTAGAATCAACTTCAACATGAATAAATACATTTCATATGTCTATGAGCCATAGGACAAAGCCTTAAGTATATTACAATTATCAATTCATTTTCCAGGTTACTCAGGCTTGAATGTCCCTTCTCCACTTAGTTAATAGTATGTCCTCAAGATTTGCTTCTTATCCTTGAAGGTTTGGCTCTATTACAGGGCAGGATTTTAAAGGAAAGGGAGTATTGGTCAACTCATTCCCAGTCTAAACAAAACTGAAAAAGTATGTATGACAGGTGTGGTTTAGAATGAATTTTTCCAGGTATAGGGACTCACACCTATAACCCTAGTACTCTGGGAGGCCAAGGCAGGAGGATCACTTGAGGCCAAGAGTTGGAGACCAGTCTGGGCAACACAGCAAGACCTCATCTCTACAAAAAATAAAAATGTAGCCAACAGTGGTGTCACACACCTGTAGTCCCAGCTACTCAGGAGGCTAAGGCAGGAGGATTGCTTGAGCCAAGAGATTGGAGATTGCAGTGATCTATGATGGCACCACTACACTCTACCCTGGGCAACAGAGCAAGACCTTGTCTCTAAAAAATATGAATAAAATGAATTTTAAAAATCTTCTATTCCAAACATTTACCACATATGCATGCATAAAACAATCCAGCAATATTTTTTTGCCTAAAATTGTTGATTTCTACTTACATTATAGCTAGCCCACTCTATTCTTCCATTGTAGTCCCTTACATGCAACAGAATCCCACTAAAGCACATGATTGCATTCAGAGAATAAGGTGCAGTAGGGGGGATATTAACCCCCAAAATAACCATTTTCCCCTCTAGAGGGTGGGGGAGAGGTTGGTATTCTGTCTTAAATTCAAGTGTACAGATCACAACATGTAAGGTCAAAGGCACAAAAGTAGTTTGGCATCCCACACTGATTTTTTTTCCTCCTTGTTCTGAAGGCATACTCCTTGAGTAGGGAAAAAAGCAGCTATCCATCCACTCACTAGCCAGTTGAACATAATCAAGACAATTAAGAGAATGACCCATAGTTACAGTCATAAACATCAGATTTTAATCTCATGATTTTTGCAATTGTGTAAGTACTATCAAAAAAGAATATTGTGTCTCCTAGAATATTTCTCTCAGCAGTACGATTCTGAGGAAGAAATATGCCCCTCGTTGCTCCACTCTCAGTATGATTTCCCCCAAGACAGGCAACCTTTGTCAATAGTGTTGAGACAGAGTAGTAGAAATGGAGTCTCTCTCTTGCTGAGAGCTGGTCTTTACCTGCCTCAGCTGCCCAGAGTGCTAAGATTATCAGCATGAGTCCCTCCACTCAGCTACGTTTTTCAAACGTACTTAGGAAAACACAAGTCACACTATAAAAATTTTCCAAAATCATTTTAATAAAACATTCAAATAAATTTCTGTTAAACTTATGGTTTTATATTTCTATGACTTTTTGTTTGCCTAACCTCCAAGAAAAATATCCTGCTAGACATAAAACAGAATGTATTACTAAATATACCAGCCTCAATACACCAGCACATCAAACTTACAGAGAGTCTGGCATCCAGGTACCATGGAACTATAATAAATCGTAATTTAATCCCTTATACTTGAAATAATCATTCAAATTTACCATATTTTAAAGAAAAGTACTCAAAGATGATTGGGCAAAAATGAAGTATTCATTTAAACACAGTATGATCTTAATTTTATGAAAACATAAACCTAAGGTAACAAGTGGAAATCACACAGTAAGTGCTTGAACTGATCATTTGAATTCATAAATTATCTTTAGCACATTTGAATTAATTACTACATTTAGTGAGAGATAAAAAGATGAGAATAATAAGCTAAATTCAAACACAAAAAATAAGTCTAATGTAAAAACAAGTAACATTTTTTGCTTGTTTGTTTTTGTCTCTTAGCTGGCTCCCTGACTGCAACTAGTGACTCCTAATATGTAGATATTTCAGAAAAAAAGAAGCTCCACACTTCTTCTGTAAAATAAGTTAAATAATAAATTTCAACTTTTTCTGTAGCCTTTCTCTACTCTCCCCCCCCCCCAAAATTATCCATCCTAGAGTGTTTCCATTATCTTGCTGGTAAATCCTACAAAGAGTCCAATTCGTCCATCGACAAATTGGACTCTAAATATGGTTAGAAAAACAGAAAAGTTTAAAGCATTGGAAAAGCAGCGAATTGTCTAAAGATGCCAGTCGAGATTTTTTTGATGAAAAATACTACCTCCTAAAAGTCAACAGGTCAAAATTACTCATAGGTGTAGGTAAGGGTCTTCAGAAAATGAAAAGATGCTTTTGCTTCCTCAATCAGCAGATTTAAATTGCTCCCAATCTACAGTGGGATAGATGTGGCACTTCCTTGATGGCTTTCATGCTTAGGCTGTGGAGCTGACTCTGGAGCTCGCAGATGCTTTTTCCTGCCTGTCTTCTGGATGAAGTTAAAGCGACATCCCTCATACTCCCGGGCGTCATCCACACTTTCTCCAGTGGACCTTTGAGGGGCTTTATCCAGAATCATGTGTGCATTAACTGTGTCTAGAATATTCACAGTTAACGCATTCACGTTCTGCATGACACGAATCATTAATATCTCAAGACTCTTTGCCTCTGCGGAACCTTGAAGGACGCCAAACACGTTAGCATATACTCCGACTGGCAGCAGGGTTGTCTGCTTGGCTTTATCTCCGCCAAGCCAATGCTGAGCCTCGATTGGCTTAGAGGTCATATCATCAGTTTTGTAAAGAATGCAATTTCAAGCCCTCTCTGCCTGTCTGATTATTCCCACAATGACGACCTAGGAAACTACAACTCCCCTAACCTTGAACACATTATCAACCAGAGTGGAGGTGAGCAGCTGGTTTACACAACAAGGTATAACTTTCTCCATTTGGAGTCTGGGCCTGCAGGACTTCCTCGCTGGAGTTGCACTTTCCTCGGAGGTTTGGTCACTGCCTCCACTAGCCTCACCCTCAGCAGAGATGCTCCCCCAGCTTCTAACCCCACTCTTATTCATCTTAAGGATAGCTGAGGAAAAGGAGGTGATTTGGCTATAGTCAGGAAGCTCTACAAACTGGCTTGGAGCTCCACCAAGGGCTACTACCACATGCTCAGGGCTTGATGACACCACCAACTTCACGCCACGCATGTAGCCAATCAGCTACCAGAATGCAGCTGCCTCCAGCCAATTGGGGCCTGTCAGGTTCTCACCAGATTCCATAACTCTTTGGGGTGTGCTAGTGGTTGCTACATTTTAAAAGTATTGCGTGTAATCTCAAGCTTTTCTTGCCACGCTCACAAAAATGCATTTTTACTAGTCCCACTCCATTCCTTTCTGAATGCTACAACTTCCCAAGTTTGAAAGGAATAAAATCACAAAGCCAAAATACTTAGTTTCAGAAATAAATATATAACAATTATCTGAGTACACAACTAGATTTCCAGGTAAACATGGATATTTAACTCTTAGCTCTGTAAAATAATACAATAAATATCAACAAAATAATGTTCATATTCTTTAAATTGCCCATTACTAGAGATACAATTAACTATATTTTTAAACGTTTACAACTTCACAATCAGACATTGATGTTTTATTATCAGATTTCTACTCAGAAAATCTTGAGGAGAAAGTAATGTACTTGCTTAAATTTATGAACAATTATATGTATCACAAATTGCATGAATCATATCAAAATAAGAACCACATACCTGACGGGATTGCTTGTTAAAGAAACCCTCAGGGATTCTAGGCAGTTGAGAAGTTTCTCATCTGAAATGCCAGATCGTAACTCATGAACATATTCTTGTGAGGACAGGGTGCACTCATGTTTGCTGTTTCTCAGTCCACCCTATAAAATGAAAAAAAAAATACCATTTTAGACAAACAACATTGTTTAAAAGTTGAAAGTAAAGTAATACATAGAATACATAAATATTTTACTATGATATAAAAATGTGTACCGAGTGCTAGGGTACTTAAAAATTCTTGATCACAGAATTAATGTGCTAAAATTGCATGGTGTATATCTTGACATTCTTCTCATCTTAATTTAAAAGGAAATTACACTGCTGGTGCTCATGACCTAAACAGAATATGAACTTGAATTGCACAGTATCACTGACAGGGGAGCTTAAATTTACAATCTAGGCATTAGGATTAATGTTAGCTATTCCTCCTTAACCCAAAAGATGAGTATTTAAAAATCATTCTATTAATTTTCCTAGTTAATATAGTTATATTCAATTCTACAAAATACATCAAAGAAAATTTAATCTAAAGCATTACACCCAGCCCAAATCTATTGAAAGATATCAAAGTATCAGCCTATCTTTGAAAACAAATGAAAATGGTTATTGAAATGTAAAACAATAGTCTCCAAACAGCATGTTAATTAATCAAATTAGTCTAAAGCATTCACCACTTCCCAAGTATTCCTTCCTATTTCTCCCATGTTGTAGATTAATCCTAAAAAGTCATTAAATACATTTATCTGATAGCCAATAGTTTTTAGCTTAATTTCCAATATACATGGATTACTTCTAGAACTCATTATCTCATCACAGCCCCCTAGCCTCATCAGCCTTACTTTAGCTATGTAAGTAGTTCAGGGAAAAGGCTGAGAGGAAAACATTGTCAACACGTTCACTGTACTAATAACTCACAGTTTCACATTCTAGACATACCTAATCATAACTGCACCTCTCCTATATTATAAATGTATATCCCTGAATTAAGACCAGCTTGATTCGTACCAAAGTTATTGAAAGGAAAAAAAAACTCTAGCTTGAGTCCCATATTTCAAATTTATACAAATTACACTCAGTTTCTGCTAAGTATCTAAGGATATTTATAAGGAAATATTAATATATCACAAGGATATATCATAGAAAACATAATATCATAAGGAAAGGAATTTTTCCCCATTGGGTAGAAGTAGTATCATTAGAGGATATGGAACTTTTAAAAAAAGTCTTAATAATGAGAGATGTATTCCCTAGGGTTTTACACTATTTGGATTTTTATTGAGACTGCTTCCTCAATGTAGAAATTCTTAATCATTCTTAATTTCTAAATTAAAAAAATTCTATTAAATAGTAAATATTTAAAGTCTGATAAAGGCTTATAAAATAGAGGGAAACTCTATTCCCTTAGCACTGTAGCACTATTATTATTAGTACAGCATTTACAATGTTCTGGAAGAGGTCATTATTTGTGTCTATCTCTCTTCTACATTAGGAACTCACATATGCCAAGTGCTTAACACAATGCCTGAATTTAGTGAGCCTCAACAACAGTGCACTGTCTTTAAATTTGTCCATAACAAAGAACAAAGAATATTATTTTCATCTGTTTAGCTCCCATATTTTGTGTAATAGCCACTGACTTGATTTTTCTTCCTTTGTTACGTTAGAAGATACAGGAAACTTTTAAGACTATACTGGATAAATCACCACATAGATAGCACTGTAATAATGTCACTGTACAATCCTGTCCACATTCCTATAACTGATGTACACATCTCTTACCCTACAAATAAAAAGTAAATAATTAAAGCATAATCTTGAAAATTTAAAATCACACATTTTTGCTCAACCAACTTACTTTCTACAATAATACGAAGTACAGTAACAATCGCTCTATTTACTGCATACACCACTCTGAGAACTACTAGCACAAGACGTTAAAATTTTGCGAGTCTACAGTCACATACTACTTGCATATAATCCTCCAAGTTACTTTTTGAATTAGTTTATAAAAAGGCATTACTGATCACCCCCTAGAAGCTTGTATGCAGAGTTGATTCCTATGGAATGACCTTTGTATTTTGCTATTTTCTCTGCTTGATATTCTCACGAACCCCAACCTCTCCATTGCTGGATCCCATCATTTAAGTCTCAGCCCGAAAGCCTTCCCTCCATGTTCTAATTATCGTCACAATACCATTGAAAACATCATTTATACTATTAGTTCCATGAAAGTTTATCTTGTTCAGCAATTTAGCTGTTTACTACATTTTCCCCACCAAAATATAACCTCCAGAAAGGATCCTTGCCTGTCTTGTTCACCACTGTATCCTATGATCACAAGACAGTGCTTGACACCAAGAAAGTACTCAATACATACTTCCTAAATGAATGGATGGGTGGATGGGAGGGTAGGTGGAAAGAGAATAAAAAATGAATAAATGACTGATGAGTTTCAACATGGTAAAACTTCTAAGCTTAGTTTAGCTTTGCTTCAGAGTGTTACAGTTCTGAGTTTCTTTTTAAATGTGAATATTTATTCTTTATTTCAAATTAATATGAGGGCACAAATTTTTAGATTATATAGTTCTCACTTCCGGGGTAAAGTTCCAGTTGTAAAAGAGGCCCTCACCCAGGGGGCGTGTTATACACCCTCATGATGTGCACCATGGGTGAGATCCCACCTTGTGCCCTCCTTCCTTTGGCCAATCGTCCTCCCTCTTCTCTCTTCCTCTTCCTCCTCCCCCTGCCTCCATACCCCCATACTAGACTATATTTGTGTTTCATTGTTCATATGAGCATGTAATTATTTATAAGTGGCTTCATAGTGGCATTGAGTACATTAGATATTTATTTTTTCCACTCTTGCGATACTTCACTAGAAAGAATGTGTTTCAGCTCCATCTAGGGAAATGTAAAAGATGTAAAGTCTTCATCTTTTTAATGGCCGAATAGTATTCCACGGCATACATATACCACAGTTTGTTGATCCATTCATGAGCTGATGGGCATTTGGCATGCTTCCATGACTTGGGAATTATGAATTGAACTGCAATAAACATTCTGGTACAAATGTCTTTATGGTAAAATGACTTTTGTTTTTCTGGGTAGATACATAGTAGTGAGATTGCAGGATCAAATGGAAAGTCTACTTTTAGTTCTTTGAGGATTCTCCATACTTCTTTCCAGAAAGGCTGTATTAATCTACAGTCCTACCAGCAGTATAAAAGTGTTCCCTTTTCCCCACATTCACACCAGCATCTGAAGTTTTTGGACCTGGTGATAGGGGCTAATGTCACTGGGGTTAGGTGATCTCTCAGAGTAGTTTTGATTTGCATTTCTCGGATGATTAAAGACAATGAGCATTTTTTCATGTGTTTTTTGGCCATTCATCTGTCAGGATTTTATCAAGTTGAAAAGCTTTTGCACAGCTAAGGGTACCACAAACAAAGCAAATGGACAGCCTTTAGAATGGGAGAAGATTTTTGCCTGTTATGAACCTGAAAAAGAAAACTGATAACTAGAATCTACAGAGAACTCAAATTAAGCAATAAGAAAAGTGCAAACAATTCCCTCAGTAAGTAGGCAAGAGACTTGAACAGTTCTGAGATTTTCAGTTACAAAATATTCAGAAATGCTGAGTATAGAACAGGTAAACTGAGACACTATATGGCATGCTGAGGACAGCTCAGGCTTTCCAACTTGGTTTGATTTATGGCTCCAGTCATTTACCTTCTTGAAATCTTTAGGCAGGCTATTAACTAATCTCTATAAACCTGTTTACTCATCGATGACATAGGGGTAATATATAGCTATCCCTCAGGTTTGTCATGAGGATTAAGTGAGATAATGCATACAAAATGCCTAAAACAGGCATTTCATATGTGGCAACTCATAGACACAGAGAAAGCTATTCAGAAAACGCTAGCTCCCTTTTTCTAAATAACTCTCTATAGGACTATTCTATAGAGAGAATAGAATAACTGGGACATATGATTGTGGCTGAGAGAATCTTTATGGACAACTATGTCAGCCCATCACCTTGTGGCTTATCCCATCCACGTCTTAAAAACAAATTGAAATTATGAAATTTAGGATACCCTTTGTTTATAAGAAATAGAAGCAAACAGTCAAATGGAACATGACAGAGAATACATAATTTTATAGAATAAAATGCCTTTTACCACACTTGGAAGAACTCTGGAGTTCTAACATAAGTTCATAGTTGATAATTATGAAAACAAGATAGCATGTTAAGGCTGGCACGGCTCTTGATGATCAGCTCTTCTAATATCCTCATTATAGAAATAAAGAAACCAGGTGATTGCTCAAGTTCACATAATTAGTGAGATTAAAAGACTAAAATACAAATATTCTGATCCTTGAGTCCCTCCTTTCTCTACTATATGACGCTTTTTCTAAATTTTGAATAAAAAGTTAAGGCAACAAGTATTTAGTTCTGAAATCTGTATTACAAAATGTCCAGGTATCAAAGTATCTCCAGCATAATCAATATGGTACAACTTAATATTAAAGAAATCACCTAAAAACAAAACAGTGCAATAGATTAAACTAATTCTCACCACACTTAATAAGGCTGTAATACAAAAATGGCTTATTATTAACATCCTGTTCTGATCCTGAACAAAGGAAACAACCAGATAATGGATGGATAATAATGGAAATTTTAATTAGCTGCTCTGTATGAGATTAATGAAAATTACCACTGTGCCCATTTGATCTTTAAAAAATAATGCAGGCAAAGTTAGCAATTAGCGTACATAATACCATTCCAAAGCTAGGTGAACAAAAAGCTTTCCTAATTTGAAGCCAGTCCTTAATTTGAAAATCATTAGGATGTAGATATGTCAGTGTGACTGTGTTTGTATTATTCTAATATGGTACACAATAAGCCACGACAGGAAGGTTTAATAATCACGTATTCCCCTTACTCTGATATGAAATGTTAATATCAAGACCAGACAAGTAATATACTAAGAAGAATATTTTAAGTTTGCAGTGTAGTTTATATTGACTTAGTCTGAGTCATGATCTGCCATTCTTTAATGTAAAAGCAGATTTAACTATAATTTGAGAAAAGGCG